ATAAGGACACAGAGTACCGACTTCGAACATGTCCGCCGCTGCAGACATTGCTCTCATTCCTCGCGTAGGCAAGCTGGATGACAGACCGAGGCCAAGGCTGACTTTTCTGCCATTGATTTCTCCAATTTCCCGGCCGGGAAATTCTGATTGAATCCAGTCTTCCATTCTCTTCCCTCGATCTCCTGGAAGGCCCATGAGGTCTTACTCGGAGCTATCCTAGATTCAATCTCAACCGAATTCTCCAAATAATTCCTTCTACCTACTTTCGAGGCTTAGAGAGGAACACATGGAGAAAACGATTCCAAACCTCGGGAGTTAGGGAGGGCGGAGCTCAGACCCGGAAGATATCTTCGAAATTGGCGGCCGGTGCCCACAGGGCAGCGAATGGTCGAAAGGGAAGCCGATACACTCACTCCGACTCAATCAATCACATCGAATTGTTCGAAATCCTATCGCGTTTCGAGTCTAGCATTCGAAAGGAGGCGGATCGCGACATGCGCTTTCTCCGTCGAGATTCAATGACGAGTCACCCATTTTTCGTGCGTGCAAATGCTCGTGCACTGTGAACCTAGTTACGGCTCACCTGTCTAGAGAATGAATGCATCGTCGACTAGCGAAGGTTTCGTGACCTGAGACAAAGGAGCAATCGACCGACAGAGCTAAACACATTGCGTGACGGTTAACCTCTTAGGCAGAAAAATTTTGAATAGCTTTGCTTGTTGCAGGCCTGCGTGGGTTTTTTTTCGTCATCCCGCGAAGAATGCCATGTACCCTACTGCTGCCGGCGGACGCAGCGAGAAAAGCCCTAGAAGTCTACGGGCGAAATTTCATGTGAATTACGAACTTGATAAGTGAGTAGAATCTGGAGAAGCTGATTGAATATTATTCTGTAGTGTATATAGCACAGCGAACGGGATCACGAAGTATATTTTCCTTGGAAAGTGTACTCCCGAATTCTCCACCGCCTTATCTTCCCCGATTCAGCCTCGAGGTGGATAAGGTAGATGACGGCTCTGCCCGATCCCCGGGAGACCAAAGAAGTGTTTTCGGATCTGGATGAGTTTGAAAGCGAAACGTGGCAGATGACAAGTTCAAGGCTCTTACTCAAGTTATGGAAACGCTTGCCGCTCCGGGTGAAATAAAGGCGGGCTCAGTTCCTTCCCACACAACCCAAAATAAGACTTCGTCGATGTACATATGGTGCTCATGGTACAAAGTGCTGGAGTTACGTTGACTTGAAGAGGAATCGAGAAAATACTCCCTCCGACCGCCAATAGGGGATACGGCCAGGTGGACAAAGTGAAAAATCATGTCGAGACTTGCGGATCCCGATCGAACAGCTCGTCGAATTTCACCGCCCCTGAGTTCCCACGCGTCTGAGTTCCTTCGTGACGAATCGCGAAGAACCGCGTAACGATGCTTGTGCAGCGAAGCTGAGCCAGAAACAAGAACAAGGGAATAAATTCAGTCGCAACGAGAATAATTATCGATTCACAGGCTACGGCAATCGATGGAATGCGGTCTCGGCGAAGAGGGTGCCCCCGCTCTGAAAGAGAACTCGGTCTGAGATATCCTCAATGCGGATGAGCGGGACTTCCGCGATCGGAAGTTGCAGAAATCGAGCGTCATGTATTCCAGGGAGCCTGCAGCTCTGCGATGAGAATCAATTGGCGGGATAAAACAGCTCAGAGCCACGGAGTGCTGCTTACTCAAGTCCCGCTCCGCCCGCTCCCTTCCGGAGTGCACCACTCGACCGATCTAAGCTTCTTTTTCTCTCTGGCCGTGTTTTCGTGGCGTTCAGTTTGTTTTCCTCCCAGTTTCGCCGGCCGATCGAGTTTTGCGAGAGATCAATCATATCGGGTCGCTCGCCGGGCTATCGCACTACATCTAAGCACAGCTCGACCCGTTTGCCTTTCGGTGTCTCAGCTGAGTGCAAGGGATTCGCATGTTTTATCACTCACTCGATCACTGTAGATCATGTCTCTCGCGAGGCACTTTTGAATGGCCGACCGTTTTTCTCCTTTCGTCCATAAGTCGGCGAGGCCGCCATTGTGGACCATTAGCTTTATCGAGTAATGCGCTGTTCGATGACGACGAATCTGACGTCACGCAGACGTCGTAGGCCGGTCAGCCGGTCGGTCCGTCGTTCGACAAGCTCGCCAGGCATCGTACTCGGCGGAGTGGCCGGTCGGCGGCTCCGCCGGATAGCGAGACCTCGAGGGTTATCGAAGGTCTGCGTGTAGGTCCGAGAGACGACCGCTGCTACCGTCGCGTCTCTTTGCCGTTGAGAATAAAGAGGGATTAAGCTAGAGCAGCCGGGGCGCGCGAGGCGGACTTCTGCGCGCTCTCAAGCAGGGGTGGCGGGACGGCATGCGAGGAGGCGAGCCTCGGGAACGAGTCAAAACGTACGCTTCGAAGAGTCCAAGACGGAGCAGTCATTCCCGGACTTGCTCGCTCGCGCGTTCACCCGTATGTCCGTTCCGTCTCCCCCTCCCGCAAATAGATCCATCTACTCGAGAAGAGAGCGTGGGCTTAAGTTTCTTTCTGTTGTGCGAACACGAATACAGCTGGCCGCTGGACTTAAATCGATCGAGCTCATTCGGGTAACTGGGCTAATCCATGGCACACTTCCCTCCACCCTCGCGGATTTCCCGAACGAATAATTATTCCAGCCGTTCTGTGATCATGGTATCATGCCCAACTCGTTTTCGCTCGCCCAAGCAGGGTTCCCACGAAATTTCGTATCAAGTTATTCCTCTCTATGCCAATCATTCACAGACTCAGAATCCTTGCTCACAGCCAGCCCTCGAGTGATCCCATCCCGACGGTGCGTGTAAGGTGAACTGGTTCCAGAGGGAGAGGTCCTCATCTACTTCAGGAAAGAAGCTTGACTGCTCGGTGCTCCAGGGGAGAGTCTAAACATCGATTTCCATTTCATAGAGACGCCGGAAAACTTTTTCTTGATTGTAGCTCTCAGCAGCAGGCCTCGAATTCGCAAGAAATCCCACAGAGCTTCTCGGGACGGGGGATTTCGCAGGAATAGGATCTACGGAAGCTCGCTCGGATCATCGGGCATCTTCATCATGATCCACTTTGATCAGTTGATCGTCGAGCCGCCAATCGGGCGGGCATGGAAGCATCAGCTTCGAAGGGAATGCAGTCGCTGACTGACACGCTGTGATCGCCTGCCTCACTGCCAAGCGAGCTGTTCCACTGACTGACTGACTGTCTGACGGCCGTACGGACACACGGACGGCTCATCTGACGCCTCCAATCGGTCGCCAATCGAGAGCCGCCCAATCGTGCGACTCTTCGAGCCTCCGTACGGTCACCCGTTGATCGTCTCTGGAAATACGCTCAAATGGACTCATCAGAGTCGCTGGCGGTCAGAAGCCACTGAGGAATATCTCCAGGATGGGACGGAATGAGAACAAGCGGAATCGAGCTGAACCCAGTCCCTCAAGAATCGGACGACTTTCTCGAGGGACACGAAGCGAGTTCGTGTCGTAAGCCCCGGCGCGGCGGACCGAAATGCGAGCTCCGCATACGCTCAGCGAAACTCGGCCGGAGCAGTCCAGTGGCCGGCCGGAACACTGGAGAAAGTTTTATCTACTGAAGTGGAGGGATTTTTTCTTTTGACAACGAATTCCAGACATGCGGAGCAGCAAACAGAAAGCTCGGGACACTCTGCAATGCGAAGAATGTTCATTCGACCGTCTCGGTCGCTCGCTTCAAAGGGACGCCTGGGTTTGCGCAGTGACTTTTCCCCCTTGTCCTCGACGTTGAACTTCAATCGAATCGCCCGTGGATAGCGGGGACTGGGATTTCAGAATCTTCTATTGGCCCCTCACAATCACAGTGATTCGGCGCTCCTCGACTGTACGAGTTTGAGTTCTTGGCTCCCGGAGGAAAACTGCTATTTCGGGGAATTTTCTCATAATAAATGGATCGGAAGCTTCGCCTTCCTTTCGCCCTGGCTGCCTCTGCAATTTCTGCGACAAACTTGCTGTTTCCTCTTGATTCTCTGGCATTAAACCCGCTCGGTTTCCGTTAGTCCTTTGCGCTCTCAGATGAGCCTCACGCGCCGACATTCCTCGAAACTTTCGTGCACTCGTCGTCGTCGAGACGTGGCACGTCGGTGGGCTATCGCTGACCGACACGACTCAATGGCATCTGGCGAAAAAGGACAGAGGAACTCCGACCTTGAGCAACGGGGTTTGGCGGGGACCGGGAGGGGATTCGGCCCGGCGTTCGTTGATTCACACCTCGGCGACCACTTTTCATTCTGCTCCAAGTTTCCGTAGCTCCATTCTCCGGAGTAAAGGAGACAACAAAAGCGGGGGCACTGCTGAGTTTGGAACGATCACCGCAAGCTCCACGAACTTTGTAGACGCGACCGACCGGTAGCTGAGCAACTGGCTGGTCGCTTCTCCGGCTGGCCGGCTTGCTGGCTGGCTGGCCGGCCGTCGACGGAAGATCTCCATTGTGGATGAACTCGATTGCATCAGCTGTGCCCACCCGTTCCTTCGTTCGTCCGCTCGCTTCTGGCCCGGCCGCCGTCTGTCCATCGCGAACGATGGGTCGGACTGCCCGAGCTGCCATTGTACTCGATTCGCTTTAGGATTTGCAATCGTTCGATTCCTCCTCTTGTGTCCACCTAGTCGCACTTTGCCGGATCCGACCGCCCGGTCGTCGTAGACGTCTTTCAGTCCAGCCATCCGCCATTTCGCTCATTGAAAATACAAAGGAGACGCTTCGAGTTTCTCCCAGCTCAAAGGAGTTTTCTTCGGCGCACGCACGCCCGCCCTCACTCACCGCCCGCTCGGGGACACGCAAATACGCTGGCACAGCCGTCTTTGTCATGCTCGGAGCGATCGAGGAACGCAATCGTCGTCCCTGGCAGGCTCCCATTCCAGCCACGTTTTTCAAGGCGGCGTATCAGCTCGCGCGGCTTGGAGCTGCGTCCTGAAAACTGAAAAAAGGAAGCCACTTCATTACAGGGAATGCGTCGAACTCTCGCTTCGGCGGCGAGACATTCATACGATCGCTCATGGGGGTCCGCGAGGTCCTCGTCGTCTACTCGGGTCACATTCCCGACTAGACACATCGCGGGTTCGCACGCGAGACTGGTCTGCGCCGCAAGGAGAATAGGTCTGTTGACGAGACGAGTTCCGAAAACTCGACCGAGCGTCTGAGTAACCCATTGCGACCGCGTCAACCGCTGAGACACGCCGTCAGCGCAAGACGACTGCCTCGTAAACGTTTTGCCGTCGTTCGCTCTCTACATCCTGTCCGCGGGGGTGTGCCGCTGAGCTTTCCTCCACGATCCCTGGGACTTTTTCTTAATTCGTTTTGCCGTTACTACCCCGAGCATAATCCAAAAATGTTCATACAGCCTATGGTTACGATGGCTATTGAAAGAAAAATTGAGCTACACGTTCCCGGAGGGAAGAGGTCGAGAATCGAGGCAGGCAGACTGTGTGTTCCCCTGTTGCTTGTGCCTGACAGCTGCTGAAATTCTATTTTTTCCTTCGCTCGGGGACTAGACGTTCCTGCTCCAGTCGTGTCTGTTTCTCTCTGCGAAACGTAGCCTTCGCCCGTGACTGATGAAAACTTGGAGCGGAAAATGAGCCGACGTATTTCCCGCTTTGATGGGACGATGTTTCTGAGGGGGAAAAAAGGGTGGTTTGACTTCAAGCACGCAACTTGCTTGACGCCACTCGTTCCGTATCGATCGGGCTCGAGATCTTTGTTTCGGTCCATCAATGTCGAGCATTCACCTGTTGCTCTCGACTGCGGCTCCATTATTCGTGGCTCGCGAGAGTGGCCCGGGAAACTCCTGAAGTCCTGAAGCCTAAAGGCTCGATAGGGTGTCCGACAGAGTTCGGTGTGACCAGTGCCGACTGGAGGACACTGCGGTCAAGTTCACCAACACCCACAAAGGAGCCGAGCACGCTCTTACGCAGCGTGGCTCCTGTTTTTCCTTCATCGGAGGGTATCGGCCCCTACGCAGCTGCCCAAAAATCGCTCGGTTTTTGAGAGATGAACAGACCGCACGAGAAGAGTCTCGCGCGAGGCAACTCGAACGGCTCTGCAGAAGTTTCGTGACGAAACCTTCGGATGATGTCACTAGCACACACTCGCCATGTCATTCGCTAAGCCTGCTCTCTCACAAGTGCATCCATCCGTCTTTCCTCGGTTGTCTCCTCTTCAAACGAGCAAGCGTGCCGTCGGTTGTTGAAGTCGTTTAAATACGCCCGAGAACAAGATCGACAGCAGACTAAAGCAGGTCATGCATACATGCGCCGTGGCTCGGTGCAATACAACAACAATACTCCGGAGTCTTGGCGCAAGAATGATTGCTTCTATTCGTTTTGGCACTCACTCAGTCGGTGGTGTACACAGCGGCCTGTGGCGAGCGGAGCTCGGGAGGCAAATATCTCCTAGGATGTCCGCCCGCCGGCGTCGTTTGCACTTTGTGGTCTCACTATTGTCGGATCGGAGAGTCGGAGCTCTCCCGCGGTCCATGTCCGAGAACTCTTCCTCGCCCTTACATCACGCAACGATACAAATATCACGCTCCCGCAACGAGACACGCTCGTAAACGATGTCAGGCGAACAAACGACTTCTCTCGGATATTCCACGTGAATGGATGAAAAAAATGTGCAAGCACATAAGCAGCTATCCCCCTCTTTCGTAGCACCGACTATTGTCAGCAGTTCCGGTTTCTGAACAACCCATTTTGCTTTTCCAGAACGCGGCGGTGAGTCGGTTCCGTTGGTGTGCGGCGCGTCCGAAGGTCTCTTCGACGCCGCCGTCGCTGCCGAGCCCAGAGGCAGCGATGGCATCCTCGGGGAGCGACGTTCTCGCATGGGATGTCGAACCTGGAAACAGCACAGACAGCAACGCCCTCAGCGCAATCGAGTGCTTCCTTAGCACCGAAAACGTGACCGCTGTGCCGCACAGAGGCGAAAGGCATTGCAACGCAACGTGGGACGGTAAGGAATGAATACTGTCGGCTTAGTACAACAAACTCGCTCGGGCCTCAGTGTGACAGCACTCAACGACATTTTATTGCTGCTCCGAGATCTGTCGTGACGTTTTTTCTTTCGTCCTTGATCACTTTCCAGCCGTAAAGCGGGAGACTGCCACGGTCTAACACTGAACGTACATCTACCGGGTTTTGGAGGGAGGGTACCAGAGATCCCCGTGTGTCGAACTTTTCCCGAAGGAATAATAGCGGAGGTTCGGGCGCAAGGTTTATAATGGACCCGGACTTGCGTAGGACCTAACGAAAACACTCATGAATCACAAACATCTACGGAACAGGTTTTTCTTTCTCGAGCGCACCCGAAGAGAACTCACCAGCCGCGAGCTTCCCTATATCCGAGAGAACTATCCAAGCGAATTCGCTGTAGCTTAGACTATTTCCACATAGGTCTCCCGAAATGGCGGTGGAGGTGGAGCGTAGCGAAGGAATTGGTCGACGCTGCTCGACATCTGGGATTCTCTGACTTCGACAAATCCACGCGAGGCGTTCGTGCGCGTACTGCCAAACTATAAGCGCAAGTGATAAAGACAATCAATGCTTTATCCGGAGCATCTCTCATCCTGGACTGCCATGTCACCGCATCCGCGCACGGACGGAGCCAATCGTATAAGCCCCGCCGGGATCTTCATCGCACACTGAGGACTCGGTTTCATGAATTTTTCGTCGTGAAATAATGCGTCGTCACATGATCTGTGAACGATGGAATCCCGATCCTCCTCGGCGAGTCTCGATCCCAACGCAGAGGCTCGTGGCGCTAAGCCCGAGAGCTCCCGAAAGACTGACGGAGCAACGTCCACGAGTCATCAGAATGAGCTTCGCGAACGCTCCCGATATTTTTCCTCTAAATGGCTACGCACCCGTAGCTGGTCGGCACATTGAAAAGCTTTCACTTCGGCTAATGGACAATAAGAACCATCTAAGGGACCCTCTTCTCGCCAGCCGCCCGCTTCTCGAAAACTGATGCGGCTAAACCACATCTTATCGATGCACTGATGAGTGAAGTGCTCTCTTCTCTCAAGATAAGATGACAAATCGAGTGAGAATATTTCATTCCTATAATTCCAAGCGGAGCAGCCCTACCGTCGATCGGAGGCCACGGAAAGGCTAAAAAGAATACGAACTCGTGGTCCGATCGCTAAATCAGGCTCCCCTATGTGTCTAATATGCCCCCCCCTCCCCGCCGCCCATCTCCGCTGACCTATCATTTACCGAGATATACCGGGGCTCAGAAAATTCTATCGATCCCATTCCTATTTTATCGAGAGACATTTAAACGGTCCCGTCGGTGGAGTCATGCGAGATTGCCGCACCTACACTAGACCTCATGCTCGGCGCTATAATAAGGGTCGATATTTCCTGGATCGAATGACAAGGCGTTTGCTTTTGACGAAATTCTGGTAGTTTTTCTGTCTCATAATTTTTTATAGCAAGATTCTTGAGTCATTTCTTGGAAGAAGTCTCTTCCTCTCCCTCGTGCAATTATTCGTTATGAATATAGTTTGAAAATTTCAGGCTTATCATGTTGGCCCATGACTCGAGCGGGGCGCTTGTCGCAAGTTCCATGTTTCGAGCATTTCAATGGACTGTATTATGACACAACGAAGAATGTCACTCGGATGTGTTTCGATAATGGAACGTGGCAGGACAAGAGCGATTATTCGAACTGCCAAGCGCTCATATCGCTCGACAACCAGGTGAGAGATACGATGCAGCAAGAGCGAGATTTGGACACATCTCGCATCCGAAGAGCTTGGCTCCCGTTCCAGCTGATTCAATCGAATACTATTGCGATTCCAGACTCAAACATCGAACATAATGATATACTCCATCGGGTATGGATGTTCCATGGTGGCGTTGATAGTTGCTATCTGGATTTTTGTTTATTACAAGTGAGTAACTCATCGGCGTTCTAAATACTCAGCGCGATTATCGCTTGAATCTCGTAAACTGGAAATTCAGAGATAGGTAATTCCACTTGATTCGCTCAGTCGCGGAATGCGCGAGCTCTGTCAATCGAGAAGCGGACAGTACGCAATCAGACCGTGGCGTGGCAACACAGAACGAGAGCATTGTTCGTCGGCCAGATCGAAGTATTCCACTGTCGAGACTGTTCAATAAACCCCGCTTCGGTGTAGGTCGCCGGAGAAACGGAGCCGAATCCCAAGGACCACAACTTGGTGGTCGCTAATTGGAATTCTAAAAGCAGCTCGGAGATCGCCGGCTAAGGAACTAGTGCATTGACAGCAGCTTCGATGTCACTCGCAGAGAGTCTAATCGGCTCCATATAACTCAAACAAAAGCCTTTTATCAATCACCGGAAAGCTCGACGGGAGCCGGGTCTCCTTCAATGCTCTGTCCACAAGCCCTCTGGGTCGCTGCCATGACACTGAGGACGTCTGACGTGAATCTTGCCAAGTGATGGAACGTCGTCTAAAAGTGAAACAGCCCAGCAAACAAAAAATGCACTCGCCGCAATCCATCCATAACAGCGTACTGCAACCACGGAGCTTGCCAACAATACGTATCTCTGAAGTGACGCCTGCTATCCCGCCACAAAAACTCCTGACTGACCCTCGCATTAGTGCCCTCTAAGCACGCTGGACGGGCGGGAGAGCGAGCGGAGTAGACATATGTACTGTCCGAGTTCGATTTTGAAGGCGAATGGCGCGGCGGTCGTGGAGAATGCATCATTCCGAGAGACCATCGAGCGGCAAAATACGGATGATTGAATCGAGTTTCGATTGCAAATCGATCGATCGATAAATAAAATTCTCCCCGACTCATGAGTGTTTCCCTCTCTTTCCAGAGACTTGCGTTGTCTTCGGAACACCATTCATCTCAATCTCATGGTCACATACCTTCTGACAGCGATCGTTTGGTTCACTATCCAGAGACTGATTCTCGTTCGAGAATTCGGAAACTTCACCTGTTACCTCTACATACCTCTAACGTACCTCATGGGGACCAGTTTCTTTTGGATGTTTGTTGAAGGTAACGCCGGATCAAGACTACATTTCTCATCCCCCTGAATACTAACATGGAGCAGTCCTTGCGTCAGAGAGCTAAGGCAGCAGTTCGTCCCAGACCACCAGTAGGGTGACACTGCAATCCATGACGACAGTTCCGAGGGCTCAAAAAAGGAGCGACTACGCAATGGCGCTTGCTCTGCCTACGCATATGACGACCGTGGAAGCCATGATCTGGGCCGCAAGCCGAGTTTTCGATCCCCGCGGAACTGTCGGGGGGATTACCAAGGAGTATGCGCCGGGAGATCGAAGCCTCGAGCCTTTCGCGACCCAAAATTGATCCTTCCTCTACTGGTTCCCCGGGATCGGGCTCAACAGACGGGAGAAACGATGAACCGGCGGGCCGGACGCGCTGCCAAGTTTTGTTTTAGCAAGCCGATTTGTCGCACGAGGTCAGGTCCTTGTCCATGAATGGGCACAACAACGCTCTTCGCTCTTCCCTGAGGGAGAAGGGAGCGTGGAAAATTACGTGCGGCCCGCTCTGACCTCTCATAGCTATGCTTCTAGCGACTGATTCTCCCTGGGGCCTATAGACCGTTTTGTATCTAGACGTTGGAGCGCACGACACGAGGAATCTGCGTCTCTCCGAGGCTCTCTTAGAACTCGCGTTCGACCCGGAGAAGAGACAAGATAACATATAATAGGCGCTAGAGTCTGTAGAGGGATTGTCATCGAACCTTTCAGAGAAGATTTTGAACCTCGGACGAGACAGGATCCACACCGGTCAAGACACCTCGGACGAGTTCCCCTAGGAGTTTCAATTCGCCTGTGGTGTAATCGCCCGTGGTCATCTCTCGAACACCACGTAGGACTCGAGCGCCTAGAACAGGGGTGTCAAACCCGTGGCCCGTGGCCCTCGGGCCACATGTGGCCCACGAGGTCTTTTCCTGTGGCCCGCCACTATTTCCCCACATAATCGAAGCCGACCATTCCGAATGAGTGCTTGGAAATCGAATGAGATCGGTGGAATGAATCCCTCCGTGAGACAAAACAAACGAGTTTCCCCTCGATCCCCGGAGGCTGGAAAGGCATTCTTCCATGGACGATAGTCATATATTCTCCTTTTATACGGAAGTAAATTTTTGATGTGGCCCGCGGGCACCTGCGGCGTCGAATGTGGCCCGCCAAAAATTCAAGTCTGACCCCTGCCCCAGAGCGACTTCTTTTTCATGACCGCATGATTCACCACATTTCCCCGATATCTCGAGCGAGCTCCTCGTGCCCGTAGTCTGGTTTCGAACGAAATTAAGTTGGCTCAATGAAGACAAGGAGCTCGGACTTGACGGCTCGAGCTTCATTGAACTGAACTTTCGAGGCGCGTCGCTCCGAGGTGCACGAGGATGGAGTCGGCCGTTGTCTGAACATGCATACATGGAGGCATCGACCGACGAGTGAGTCGCTGGAAATGAGTTGAACGGTCACAACCAAGGCGGAATTCGGGCAGCCGCGCTAATTACCGCCGGGAGCCGCTAATTCTCGACCATCCTTCACAGAGATATTGTTTCATGACATAGTATTAGTGAAGGATCAGTCTGAAGAGGGCGCGCGAGGACTCGGTACTGGATGCAGCAGGCGGAGACTGAGAATCGCCTCGGAGCCATCTCCTGCCCTCGATGGAATTTGAAAGTGTCCTTCCGCTTCCAGGTTTGTACTTGTACATTCTTGTCGTGAAGACGTTTTCGGTGGAACTAGTGAAATTGTCAGCGTATATGTTCATCGGTTGGGGAACACCAGCCGTGATCGTTTTCATCTGGGCTCTCGTGAAGTACAGTCTCACCCAGGACGAAACGTTCTCAGAAAGCAGTCCAAGTAGGTGAAAAATATATACTGATAGTCCGTAATCCGCATTTTATAGTCAACGAGAAAGCTACGAGCAGCGTGATTCATTCTACGAGAGCTGCCTTCAATGTGTCAGAGTCTGGGGGTACTTCCCGCGCGAGAGATCCTGTCGAGCGTCTGGCTGTCCGGGCGTAGTTGAACAATTCAGTCCGGGGCGACCACTTACACGTGTTTGCCGATTCTATTTCAGACTGCGTGTGGCGAGTTAGCGATATGTATGATCTCATCTTCAGCGTGCCCGTCATCCTGGTGCTTATCGTGAGTAGAGAGATCAGCTGTTCATCATGATGAGGGAAATCGCCGACACGCGATGATGTTCGTTATCGGACCTCAAAGCTGCCAAACATGACCATTATATTTGAATTCTTGGGATGGGATCAGACTGTGTAGTCTCCATGGAGGAAAAGTTTCCAGCTACCAATGCAGGCGGGGGAAGGAGGACAGGCACTTCATAGTTAATCCCCAATTACGTCCCAACAGGCGAACATCTTCTTCTTGGCTCAAATCATGTGGGTTCTGATCACCAAGCTTCGCGTTGCCACGACGGCAGAATCACAACAGTATCGGAAAGCTGCGAAAGCTCTTCTGGTCCTTATTCCTCTGCTGGGCGGTTGTTACATTATCGTCATAACGACGCCAAATGATTATAAATACCTGCAAGCACTTTTCATTCCTACTCAGGTTAGTAACGCCCCGCCTTTCCCAAGTATTATTGTTGCCCTGGATCGGTCGCGCGGCGTCTCGCTGAAGTAGCCCGCTCAACAATGCTCGAGAATATTCTTTCGGGAGGTCGCGATTGCGGCTGCATGCGACACGGCAGATCCTTGAAGACATTGTTTGTCGTTGTAGTCGGTCCGACGAGCGGTTCGATTTGGATGCTGGAATCGTACACCGAGCAAACTATGGCAAAGTCGTTGACAGGTGAAGAATAAGGCCTCGGATCGACCAAGTTATCCTCGTGAATGATTTATTGACCAAACACGCAGAAGCAATTTCCGACCTTGTTCGCATAGTAATGCGTAGCTGGATTGAATGAAGTCCCACTCGGTTTCGACTTCAATACAAATCGGCTCGATAGAGGGTCAATTACAGCGTCAATGTTCACGTGGGGTTTCCCGGGTCGCACCGAGCTGCCTGTGGAGTTAATCTCCTCGGCATGCATCCGCTCGGTCGATCGACCAGTGGCAGGGAGCTGTCATGACTCGTCATCGGTGAAACCTTCCCTCCGATCGAGGGGAAGTTGGGACGAAGTCGTCTACGTCTCGATCAAGCAAGTCAAGCGAGTTAAATCAAACCGGCCTACCGACGCTACGGCCTGACGCGCCTGATCGTTCCGCAAGCGGATCGATTGTGTATTCCCCGTTCGGACGGACTGACGAGTGATTCGCACCTTCACGACGCTTGGAAAGAGCCTCCGTTCCGTGAACTTCATTTCGCCCTCCACCAAACCATATGGGAGGGGGAGGGGGTTTGCTCGCGTTGCACACGGGCCATGTCGCAATCCGATCTCGATCTAGTCCACCACTTCAGATTCCTCGTTCCGTGTCTAGGAGCTGCATAACCGCGCCGGGCTGACTCAATCCCATCCGTGCGGGAGGTGTGAGAGTGATCATATTCGGTCAGAAAGATCAACCAAGCCTGTCGTCCAGGTTCGCATTCGATACTCCATCCATTATCTGCTAACCGATTTCATTGTTTCTCTTCAAGGGCTTCACAGTGGCGGTTCTGTACTGCTTCATGAATGGCGAGGTGCGGAACTCGGTGCGCCATCATCTTGAACGGTGGAAGACGATGCGGGCCCTAGGAGGTCATCACGGGGGCGCCCGTCACTCGGTATCAATCTCGTACCGGTTCCACAACCAGGCGGCAGCCGCCACCAACAACTACTTACCCAATGCCAATAACCAATGCCAACCATTAGCAATGCCCAGTATCCACCAAAACTACCACCATTGCAACCAACAACAGCCGTCGCCCAGTAACAGTCTCCTTCCACATGATCAAAACAACCACGAACAACACCATTCCCACCACCATCTCCTCCACAATCATCACCATCATCACTCAGTTGTCGGTGGTGGTGATGGTGGCGGCAACAGCAACGGCGGCGTTAACGGTCGCAAACACCAGACGACCGGCTGGCAGCAGCAGCAGCAGCAGCCAGGGTTAGATGCAGTGCAGCAGCAGCAGCAGCAGGTAGATAACCGCTACGGCTCCGAGGTCAACGACGACCAACAGACCCTCATGGGGGGCGAGCCCAGAGACTTGCAGCTTGAACAGCATAAAGCAAATTCGGTGGCTGATCGAAAGTCGAAAGCACTTCCAAGTTCCAAGAAAGTGGTGCTCATATCTATTGACGAGACGAACGACGTAAGCAGCAAAAACAACAACGACAGTAACAAAGATCCGGACCTATATGTTGTCGTTCGTGCGTCTTGCACCTAGTGCAACAACAACCCACAGCAGCGACAGCAACAAGAGCAGCATAATCGACCGCAATGGCGACGGCAGCAACGACAGCCGCTTCCCGAGAACATCGACCGGTACAAATCCGATCCCGGGACATAGCCTTGATCCGCCGAAACTCTAAATCACGGTGCGAGTGGATTTCTGTTGACATTTACTGCTGGCTTTCGGAGAGACTCTCACGCTGTTGAGTTTTCTTGCGCGCCGCTCGGATACCACCTCTGCACTCCTGTGACATGCTCGTCAGTCGAAAGAACTCTCGACAGCAGCGTTTTCCGCATTCGTCCTTGTCCGTTCCGCTAGTCGTGACGACGGTTGTGTTGAATCGGACGTCGTGTCTGTAGTAATGATTGCACGAGTTGTGATGACCGCGAGTTATGTCGCATGTCGCCCGCACGCAGAAATTCCCCCGGAGTCTCAGCCAGACTCGCAGTACCCATATGACCCTGGACGCTGGGGAATGAGGGACACCACGCATCGATTCGCCCGGTAGGAATGAGAGCCCTCTTCGTTCTCTCCGTGCTCCCGTGGGAACGAGGCATCGCTGTAACAAGCCGCGGCTTCTCCCTTCTCCGGTCACTGTCACATTTGTTGCTGCTGCCACCGCCGCCGCCGCTGCTCCAGTCGTTGTCGTTGCTCTCGCGCCGTTCTAGTTGTTGTTGAGCCGCGGCCGCTGTTGTTGCTGACCTCTTGCTAGTGAATGCATCATGTGGACAAATAATCCCCAATCTGCGTAATCGATATCTATCATGCCTCATGCCACATGAAAATTCGGCATCGCGTTCCGTTGATCAAGTGAAGGAAGCCACTGCATGGGCATGTGAAGGTCCGGGATTCCCCTTTATTCGTGGGTGTTTTATGAAATTTCTGTTGCTTTCGTCCTTTTCTACCTGGTTGTTGGCCGGCCCACCTCCTGACCGTGTGTTGAATTCGCTCAAAACCGCTGTATAATGATCTCCATTGGAATGGGGAAGTCTTCCGATGAGCTCATCGGAGAACTTCCTCGCCGCAGTATGCTTTCTAACAAGAGTTTTTTTTTCTGTGCCTCGATTTCTAGCGCGTGTACAAAGATGACCGAAGAGACTCGCGCCACACCAGAGCGGGAAGCTGTGTGTCCTTCACTACTTCAGTAACTTGTGCCAACAATGCTCTCAATTATAAGGATGACGAAGTTTGAACAAAGATTTGAACTAGCGAACAGCGGAGCTCGGGACGAGCAGAGAGGATCTTCTCTAGAACTTGTCGGACATTATCTCTCATGATGATTTTCGCGCCTGGAGAGGTTATGGATGGAGGAGTTCTAAGTAGTAGAGATAGGTTCTGTCACGGCACCGCTGAACGAGCCCGCCAAACGATTCGAAATATACGAAGGACAGACGGTGAATTTCCGAAGACCTGTGACGTAACGTCGAGTTCCTCGGTGGATCTGTACCCGATGTCCACCTCAGCATAGCAGCAGACAAGCAGGTAGGCTGGCAACCAATCACGCAGCGAAGTCCCTTCCCATCTCGGTAGGGGGGAAGTCTCCAAAGGCTACCGTGTTATAGGATACTCCATGTAACCTGCATTTAGGCTCTGAAACGTTCAGCTTGCGAAACTCGGCTCCTCCACGTATGTTTGAGTCAGTTTTTCTCACATTCATCGAGTATTGTGAATATAGGGACGACCGAGTGATGATAAGTAGAGGATAATTCTTACATAGACTCCAAGAACTGTTCTAGAGCACCTACCTAAGTACTCCGCTCTCTCTCTCGAGAACTCGATTCTAATGTCGACGAATAGAAAATTCGTCAACGTCTAGGTGGTGGATGTCGACGCCATTCGTCACAGTAAACGATTAGGGACTGTACAGTAGCTGAGTGAAAAAGAGAGAATGTGATAATCGCAATGACAGTGGCAGATGCAGTGATTGGAATAATGAGGGTCTGCGATCCTACCGTGGCAAAAATGAGCTCTTCTGATCTGGTCCAAGAAGATGCCGAGGTTGGAAGCTGCTGGAAAAGTAAGATGGACTGTGAACCATTGAAGAAACCTGCAACAAATTGAATCATGCTATTCCCAGTTTAGATGCTGGCGCCTGGCCCGAGGTCAGAATGAGGGAACAACATCCAGTTGCATTCCATTCGCATCTCGTGTGAGAAGCAGGGAATGCTCACGACTCACGACCCATAGTGACTGCGGAAACGTCCATTCGTGACGTGCTCGATTTCCTATTTACCCTGAAGAATATTCCGAAGTCGAAAACGTATTTTAAGACACATCTCACTCCTTCATCGCGAGCTCGTCTAGTTTGTACTCTTCGGGAACGATGGACTCTCAGATTCGAAAATGATTTCGTTTCGCCGACATTCTGCTCCGGGACTGGAGAAGTGTCCCGAGAATCAAACTTTCTCCGTCTCATGCGAACTATTGTCGGCAGCTCTGCCTGTTGCTAATCTCTCAGACAGCATCCGAATCTCCCGCCGTGACGCACATATGTAACTCCGCTGGATCATACATATAAGCGCGCTCCGAGCAGATTGCGGAATCGCGCTGACGATCCGCGCTAGTCCTATGTCAATACGCTTCGTGAGTGAACTTCATTTTGAGTATGCCGAGGAGAGCATCTAGGCAACCTCTCCGCATCATCGATGTCGAATGATGTTGATCATCCTCACAGGCTTGCGAGTTTTCCGGTTCTCTGTCTGCACATAATTTATGAAGAGTCAACCCATGGAGGACTCGGTGTTTCTTCAAACTCATTTCTAACTCGGACTAACCCACTCCCACTGAACCGCTCGATACTGGGGAAAATGTTCCTCCATGAGAGACGACGAGACCGCCTCCAGCAAACGTTGTACAGAAGGAGCGGATTCTCGCAATCGAGAGTTCCAAGTTGTGGCGTGGCGAATTTCGGATTCTCCTTCCGAAAAGTATTCATATAGGGCTCGCAGGAGCCGCAAAGCGATCGAGTCCCGGGTAGTCGTCTAAGGCAGCGGTTCTCAACCTGGGTTCCGCGGAACCCTGGGGTTCCGCGAGCCCCTGCTCGGCTGCTCAGACTTTTATTAATTTTATCGGATTGGAATGATTTTTCTGAGCTCTAATGCATGCAGGATACTTCATGCGATCGTGGTCGAAGGTTTTGAGGTGATTAAGGGGAAAATTTGGAAAGATAGAGTCCGAAACCAATAATAAGGGTTCCGCGGAACCCCATAGGGGTTCCGCGGGGCAAAAAAGGTTGAGAACCCCTGGTCTAAGGCCCCACTCGACACTCGAGTCACTCGGAAGCGATTTTATCACGGGGGGTGACATCCGAGCAGGAGCGTCGTGCGGATTCCGTGCTAATGAGAGGTGTTTTCTATGGGGACGGGACCTGTCGGATCAGGTTATCAATACAACTACGGAGATGCTGTATTAAACATTAGCTGTATTAAGCATTTGCGTCCATGTGCTGTAAAATATCGATGTGTATTCAAATGAGAGGGAATGGATCAATGAATGGAACAATAAATGCCTGAAAGGAGGACACTTACCTCAGTAGTTCTTTTTCTGGTGATGCACTCGTTCTTCACTCCGTTAATATTCATAGTCTAGTCTCGGAAGGGTGATGATGCATGTACCTTCGCGAATCGAGACCACGCCGATGATCCCAATGTTTTTTGAAGTTAACAAGGCCGAACAATTTATACTTCCCCGGCGAACCGATTCCCGCTCTCAGGTAGAGGCGGAGAGGAGAGTCGTATTGAATATCAAAGAGGGTGGGAGGTTCTGAAAGGATGACGCCCGATCTCTAAACTCTAAAACCTAACTTGATAAATACGAGCGGATATTTTTCTGCGAATCGCTCGTTCAGGTTGCTCGCCCAAACGGGGTCGATCAACGCGGGAGTAAGGATCGTTGTCGTGGAAGTTGCCCTAACCAGAATCGAAGGGACGAGGCACACGAGGAGAGAGTCGAACATCTCAAGTCTCAAGGCATGGTGACAAGTTCTGCACAGAAATTCGAAGTAGTATCCGCCTCTGGAACCGCTTCCGCTACCCACATCGTATCCTTCGTCGTATCTTTTTGACCGGGTTGCGTCTCTCTTCTCGTCCGTAGGCCCCGTAGATCGATCCGGTGGGAATGCTATCGGAAGTGAACCGGCCGAGTCACGCCATGAGGCTCAGGGGGAGCATCGCGGGCAGGTCGGAGATCTCCCGCTCGACTGCCTGCGGAAACCTCATACATCAGCACCACGGATCTCGAGAAACTTTGATAAATCTACCTCAGTCGAAGGATAACAGATGTCTCGCAACCCTGACCGTAGAATCGAGAGTTCCTTCCTGGCGAGACTGAAGCTCCCTCGACTTCGACTCGATGGTTGAATGCTCCTTCCCGTTTTGAAGCTCGGAATGAGACGAGCGCTTACGGACTCCGTTCACCTGAGCTCGATCCTGGTATTTACAGCTTGTGAGAATTTCTGTGCAGTATGCATGGCACGCATGAGAGCTGCTCTCAAGGTGGGGAGCGTTCCCAATTTCCCGGCGTAACCAGCCGTGTTGTCGCCCTTCCTCCCGCCAGGTCCCTCGCGACGCTGAATCCGGACGCCTTCTCCTTTTGAGATCCCGGAAACATACAGTCTCCAATGAGTAGAGACGCTTCCTGAGCGGCCACGTCCTCGTCCGACCGGGTTATCTTCGCCCGATTGAAGACATGGTCCAATTTCCGAGATTCTGTGATTCAATTCGTGTATCGACAACTGTCAGGAGGAACCACTTGATGGCCCGTTTTTTTCCCCACCTTCCACGATGGGAACGTCCGCTTAAGAATCGTAGAGTCGCATCAATATGAATATGGAACGTAAACTTCATTTTCCGCAGCTCGCCTAATGAAATATAACCGATTCGGGTAAACGAGGTCGGAGAATGCCCATCTCCCTACCAGCTTCCCAGCAAGTACGTATCGGCATTACATGATTGGGTGGAAACGTGATCGAGGGTGATTCTACTACGGTCTCTGAA